TTCGTGTGAAAATGATAAAAGGTGAATAGAAAATAAGCTGAATATTTCAGTTTAAGAGTTTTTAGTTGCCTATTCATAAAACAATTTTGTCTGACCTAAGCAGAAAGAAAAGGTATCAAAAGGCTGTTTGAGTACTTAAAAACAAAACAAACAAAAAAAACACAAAAACAAGCTAGAATGCTTAAAACCAAGTTTAGAATCCTGGAAGACTAGACAGAACCCAAAACCTCAGTCTAGATCCATTCAGGTTGAGGATAATAGAGCCCCCAATACTAAGCACATGTCACATCTTACACCATACGCACCAGCAGGATGGGCGTGTGCGGCTGCTGCCACCAGGAGATATTCAGCACCTTCCTAGCTTTAGGATACATTTTTCAGCACTTTAAAGAAGTCAGTCCTTTGTCTTCTGTCTTATATAGTTTCTTTTTCTTTTTGGTTAATCCTCACCTGAGGATATTTTCCCATTGGTTTTAGAGGGAATGGAAGACAGAGGGAGAGACGGAAACATCTGTGTGAGAGAAACACACCAGTTGGTTGCCTCCTGTCTGAGTCCCGACTAGGGCCCTGGGAGGAGCCTGCAACCGAGGTATAAGCTCTTGGCTAGAATTGAACCCGAGGCCTTTCAGTTTGCAGGCCAATACTCTATCCACTGAGCCAAACCAGATAGGGCTTACTAATATATAGATTCTTATGAAAAGTCTTCCAAGATAAAAATAGGTTTTTCATTTTCTTATCTTTGTTCCTCTACTTCTAATATGTCCTTTTTCTCTGACTGATTTTTAAAATTTTTGTCTTTATTGTTGAAAGTATTAGAGATGTCCCCTTCTGATTGCTTTTTATAGTATTTCTTTTGTTACTGGTTTTCAGTAATTTAATTATGGGCCAGGAATTTAGGCATGGGTTAGCTGGGTACTCTGTTTAGAGTCTCATCAGGCTAAAATCAAGGAGTTGGCCTGCCTGAGACTTAAGAGTACTCTTTCATTCTCACTGTTTTTTGGCAGAATTAGTTCCTTAGAATTGTAGGACTGTAACTGTCCCTGTTTTCTTGATCACTGATGACAGGGGTTTCTGAGCTCCTGGAGTTCACCTTCAGGTCCTAGTCCTAGGGCCCTGGCACAACATAGCAGCTTACTTTTTCAAAGTTAGCAGAATAATATATCTCATAGCATATGGATTCATAAAAAGAACAAAGGGAGCAAAATAACGGGGGGGGGGGGGAGACAAATTGAAACATGGTAGTCATAAATGCAGCCATTTTATTAATTACATTAAATATAAATGGATCAAATATTAAAAGTAGAACTTGTCAAATAGAAAAAAAGCAAGTCCCAACCATATGTGGTCTACAAAAGAAATACTTAAGACACAAATAGATTCAAAGTAAAAGGATGGGGAAAATGAGATATCATGCCTAAGCGACTGTTAGGACTGGTCAGCTGAATGACTGGTTGTTATGACGTGCACTGACCACCAGTGGGGAAGACGTTCAATGCAGGAGCTGCCCCCTGGTGGTCAGTGTGCTCCCACAGCCATCCTCCCATGGCTGGCCAACCTCCCACAGTCCCTCCCTAATCAGGGTTCGTGATCAGATAATCAGCCCTGATTGTTGGCCAGGCTGAGGGACCCCACCTGTGCAGGAATTTGTGTACCAGGCCTCTAGTAAGAAATACCAGGAAAAAAAATAGACTTCAAAACATTACTAGAAACAAAGATTTCATAATGATGAAAAGGTCATGGAACATTACTAGAAACAAAGATTTCATAATGATGAAAAGGTCAGTATATCAGGAAGCCATTATAAATAAAATGGTGTATGCATTTAATATCAGAGCTTCAAACCACATGACACAAAAAGTGAAAGAGAAATCATAGTTGGAGATTTTATAAGTAGTCTTTCAGTACTTAAATAAGCACACACAAAAATAAATCAGAAGGGTTTTAAAAATCTGAACAATTTCAGTCACATTGATATAAAACAAAATTCTCAACAACTAGAAGAATATACCATATTTTCAAATGTACATGACATATTTACCAAAATAGACCAGATGAAAAGCCATAAAACATGTCTCAAATAAATTTCAAAAGATTTGGATCTTATATAGTATATTCTGGTACCACAACAAAGTTAAAAACAAAGTTAAAAACAAATAATAAAATATCTAGTCTCTAAATATTGGAAATTAATGTATTTTTAAACATTCCTTTGATTTAGGAGTAAATCACAAGGGAACTTAGATATTACATATTTTTAACTAATTGATAATGAATATACAATAGCAGAACATACAGGAAAATTTAAAAGTTAGAAGGAAGAAAGGTTTAATACTGATTAAGTTTCTACCTTAAGGATCTATAAAAAGAGTACATTTTTCCTAAGTAAAAGAAAGGAAATTCTAAATATAACAGCAATCAATAAAATAGGAAATATCCAAAGGAAATGAAAAACAAAACAGTGCAAAGTTAGTCCTTTGAAAAGTTTAATAATATTGATAAACTCATCAAGATGTGTGTGTGGGAGAGGGGGGCAGGGAGGGAGAGAAAGAGGTTGCCAATGTAATGAATGACGAATAAAAGAGTATATCCCTAGATCCTAGCCATAAAAAGGAAAATTATGAACATTTTTATGTCATTAAATTTGTCAACCAAATGAAGGGAACAGTTCCTTAAAATATAGCTTATCAGACCCAACAGAAAAAGAAATAGAAATTTGTAATAACCCACTATCAAAATCAAATTCATATATCAAAACTTCAACAGAAAGAAAAGTTTGGGCCCAAAGAGTTTCACTGGTTACTCAGATATTTAAGAAATATACTAATAGTTGATATTTAAGGCCAGAAAAAGTCCTTATATAAAACTTCACAAAGATATTACAAGAACAAAATTTACAGATCAATATCATTTACAAACTTAGACATAAAAATCCTTAACAAAATACTAGTAAATTGAATTACTCAAGTAAACAGGATAATACATCAAGTAAGGTTTACACCAGTAATGCAAGATGGATATATCACTTAAAAACTAATCAATATAATCCCATATTAAAATAAAATGGAAAAAGCATATTTGACAAAAAGCATATTTGCCAAAACCGGTTTGGCTCAGTGGTAGAGCGTCGGTCTGCGGACTGGAAGGTCCCAGGTTCGATTCCAGTCAGGGGCATATGTGTTGGTTGCGGGCACATCCCCATAGGGGGTGTGCAGGAGGCAGCTGGTCGGTGTTTCTCTCTCACCGACGTTTCTGGCTCTCTATCTCCCTTCCTCTCTGTGAAAAATCAATAAAATATACCGTATTTTCCGGCGTATAAGACGACCCCCTAATTTTACAGTTAAAACATAGGTTTAGGCCTATATTCGCTGGATAAGGCTACGCCCCACTTCTGAGGCAACACCAGTTCTTTTTTTAATAGACCGCCTCTCTGACTCTGGCCAATCTGAGCAGGCTTTTTACTAGAACACAGTGTAGCTTCAAGTACAGAACATGTATAATTTGCATGCATAAAAAGCCTGCTCGGATTGGCCAGAGTCAGAGAGGCGATCTATTAAAAAAAGAACTGGTAGCCAAAACCGGTTTGGCTCAATGGATAGAGCATCGGCTTGGGGACTGAAGGGTCCTGGGTTCGATTCCGGTCAAGGGCATGTACCTTGGTTGCGGGCATATCCCCAGTAGGGGGTGTGCAAGAGGCAGCTGATTGATGACTCTCTCTCATCGATGTTTCTAACTCTCTATCTCTCTCCCTATCTGTACAAAATCAATAAAATATATTTAAAAAAAAAAAAAAAAAAACTGGTGTTGCCTCGGAAGTGGGGGGTAGTCTTATACAGCGAATATAGGCCTAAACCTATGTTTTAACTGTAAAATTAGGGGGTCGTCTTATACGCCGGAAAATACGGTATTAAAAAAAGTCAACACCCCTTTATAATATTTGGACAAACTAGGAATAAGGATTAAACTTCCTCAATCTGATAAAATATATGTACAAAAAGCCTACTGCCAATATCATTTTTAATGAGAAAGCAATGAATATTATCCTTGTAAGATCAGAAATAAGGCACGGATGTTGCTAGTTGCTCTCACAACTTCTATTCAGCATTGTGCTGTAAAGCATAGCCAGTTTAATAAGATAAATGACAGCTATAAAGGAATAAATAAAACTTCTGATTTGCAGATATAATTAATTGAACTCTAAGGAATCAAACATATTGAAAATAATAAGTGGGTTAAGTAGTCGCTCAGGATATAAAGTCAATATACAGAGAAATTAATTGTAAGTCTTTATATTACCAATGAAAAATTGGTACATTTTAAAAAATCTAAATACCATTTATAACAACATAAAACCTGAAAACTACGAATGTTTGCTGAGAGAAAGACCCAAATAAATGGAGCAATACACCACATTCATGAATTAGAAAACCTAATATCCAAGGTATTTGTTCTAAAATTCAATTAACCTACAAATTCTACTCAAGAACAATAAAAAATCCCCTTCCTCCTGATTGAAGATGAAGCTCATGTGTACAGCTATTTCTTCAAGATTAAAATTACATTCACGGTAAAAAAAAGTAACCAAGTTCTGGGCTTACCACTTTGGATTCTCACTCCTAGATTTTGGCTCCACAGTTCCTCCCCTTATTGTAAATTTTTATATAATTTAACATATTTTCTTGGTTTTGTATATTATCCAATTTTTAATTTGTCTTTGGTAAGCATCAAATTCCCAGCTCCATTGCTAGAAGAAATCTCCACCTTCTATTTTTTCTATTAGTCAGCTAAATAAAAATTATTTTTTGAGTACTTCACTATGTGACAACACTGTGTATCTAGTGGCAAGCAAGACAAAGTCTCGGACCATAAAAAGCTCCTAATAGAGGAGTGTTCATTATCTTTTTTTCTTGTGTTCATTTTTTAAAGCAATGATTGTGAAGTGCATGAACTTTAAGAGAATGTTACTTTCTGTCTTCTGAGGGCTACCCTGGGGAGCGGGGACCTCACACAATACACTCTTCAATTCCAGCGGCATGCTGAATTGAATGAGCATGATAAAGTTTGCACAAAGTCTGGGATAGGGAGAACTTGGGGAAAAGAACCCGAGATGGTAAGTGGGAGACTAACATTTTAAATATAACAAGGATTTCACTACATGACCAACAAGGATTGGAGAAGTGACATTTGAGAGCTCTGTGTGTTGTCTTTTCTATCCCACAGATACTAGAAGTAGGAGATTCAAAAGGAGACCACGTGAGAAAATAGAAGATTTTGTTGTAACCATGCCACCTCTTTCCCAAGTTGGGGAAAACCCTGAGCCTCCAGCAGCCCCTCCTGAGGTTTAAGATAAAAGACATTGAACCATAGTCAGTCCAGGAAGCAACCACACCTGCTACAGATGACCTTAGACAACTGGTGCCCACCGAGGTGGCTTTTGAATCCACCCCAGCACTCACCTAGGAGGCCAACAGAGAGGCCACCCTCCAAACTGCAGTGCCAGGCAAAGGAACCAGCAGTTTCCTCCATAGATGTTCCTCACCCTGAAACACAACCCAAAAAGACTCCCACAATTGAATACTCCCAAGAATCGGTTCTGCAACGTTTTCCACCACATCCAACATGTCCCCCTCTGAGCTCTCTTCAAAGAATTAGCCACATCTTGCTCCCTTCTAATCCTTCTTCTCTGTGCCTAAGGGTGGTGATGGTGGGGAGTGGTCAAGAAAGGAGTGCGGAAGGGCACTGGAAGCTCAATGGAGAACGTCTGGACTAGCCTTCCTCTAAAGGATGCAGCTCCAGGGTTTAGGCAAGAGGGAAAACAACTGTTGTGGTCTTGGAGCTGGAGCGCATTCTTCCCTGGATGCTGCAGGGTTTTTCTCATCCTAACCCTTCATAGTAGTCCCTGCTGATGGAGCAGCTGTGGTGAACTTCAGCATGTAAATAAAGGCAACCTTTCAGGAATGCAGAAGGTAAGTGGAGTATGTATTCTTTGGACCCTTCTGTGATGGCTCAGGCTGACAAAGACGGATGCATGCAACAGGGATGCCATCCTGGGTCAGAAAATTAAAGGTGGCCTGGGTACGTTAGGGGCAAAGATTTTATCCACATGCACTCTTTGTGATCTAGTGTGAAGTGAGATGATGCTTCCTAATAGTCTTCTATTGGCTGATTCCCCAATGGAAAGATGGGCGTAATTCCATCCTCATCCAATGGCCTTTGTCCTTGAAGGGAAACTATAACTTAGAACAAGCAGGGAGCCCCTTCTGTCTGGGATCCCAATGTTAGAAGCAGTGAATTGAGTTCCACTAAGTGACGATCACCTATTCACGCTGCTCTGGGCCTCAGTATCCCCATCTATACGATGATGGTGTAGGGGCAGACCGTGCAGCTTCCTTTCCCCTGGACACCAAGGCAGCCACATGACCATCCCAGAAGGTAGGGCTATGATTTGGGGCCTCTGTTTCCACAGCCACCCTCCCTCCCCACAGGCCACTGCGGAGAACAGGAACAGTATTCCCTGTGGGTCAGTTGGGCACCTAGACACTAAACAGCTGGGCGTGTGAGGGCAAGCAGGACTTGGCTCTGCTGAAGTTTCAGGGGGACCCTGAGGCAGATCACACACACACACACTGCAAGGGGATTCTCCCCTATTACCTCTCTAGGCATTCATCCCGGACACAGCCCCAAATCACACCTTCTCTGTCTGAGCCCCAGACTTGCCCAGGTCATGGCCAAACTTGATTGGTCCATCCTGGTGACAAAGTAGCATTTTACAGGCACCCACTGGGTGTAGGGATTTAACCCAAAAAGACATTGTTCTTGGGGTTCTCAGTGATTTCTTAATGAACCAAGGAGATATATCTGGCAGGATTCCGGGGCCACTCTGGCTCCACTGGCCCTTGTGAAGGCTCAGAAGCCAGTCCCCCTTGACCTTCTGCCCATGCACACTTAGGTCCTCACCTCCCAGGCTGAGGCCCAGCATTTCTCTGCTATCTGCCCTTGTCTCAGCCAGTCCCTTTGAGTCTCTTTCAAGCACATCTTGGACACAGACACTTCTCTCCCCAAGCCCAGACCAGCGTGGCCCTGTACACACAGACCAAGGAGAGAGGGACCAGCCAACAGGGAGACTCTCCCTCCTCCCATCCCCTCAAGAGACACTCTCGGGCCAGAAGATGGAACACGTGCTTTATGACCTGAGTTGGTTAGGAAAGCAGGGGCTCGGCACTCACACTGCAATATAGAAAAGTGGTCTGTCTCCTCCACCCCAGCTGAGGGTCCTGGACTTACGGGAATTCAACCAGTCCAGTCCTTAGGTGTCAGAATATTCTTGATTCAGTTGGTTTGGTCTGGCTGCTCCCAGGATGAACTAGGGTGTCCTTGATTCCCGGTCCCAGTGGTACACAAAGCCAAAGGAGGTCACATGGCCGGGCTGGTCTGGGATGAGAGAAGCATGCACGGAGCACAGGCTCTTACAACCAGGAAGGCCACAGCCAGGACCAAATCCTACCTGTGGACATCAGGGGTGGTAGAAGGGTGCTCTGCACCCCAGCAAGGCCACTTCGCTGGAAGGAGGACCAGAGTCCAAGCTGGTGCTGGCACCGGTGGCTGGCCAGCCCAGCTTCCCTGCCCGATGGCAAAGGTCTTCCCCCAGCTGCCACCTGAGGCGCAGGCACAGAGCCAGTGCCACCTCCACGCTGTTCACTTGCCACTCCTGGAGGCCCGCTGTTTGCTCATGGCCGTGAGCATCTGGCTGATGTAGGAAGTCAGGAGGTCATCCATCTTGTAGCCCTGGAAACAGGAGCAAGGTGATAAACAGTGCTAAGAACAGGGCCAGTTCCCAGACTCAGCTGCCGGAGCAGTGCAGGAGCAGAATCCTGCACAAGGCAACTCGGTCCACTCTGGATTCGGTCTCCCCAGCTGCACAGGGCCTGGGATTCACCGGGTAGATGTCTCCGGTTCTAAGCTGTATGACCCCACACGAAGGCCTAGCCTGCGGGCCCTCCATCCTGGCAGCCTACCTCTGAGAATGACTCAAGACTACACGTGCAGCTGTACCTTGGACACTGAGTCCAGGAGGCCTCATTGCTAATGGTTTTATTAAACTCCGAGTTGAAGACTCAATCCCCAGGTACTAAAGGCACTGAAACAATAGTCATTGCAGGAGGGGTCTGTTCCTCGGGCCCTGATTAAGCCTCTTCCCCCAGACCTAAGCTGAGCCTCAAAATGACCTGACCTTGGCCCCAACCTGACTCGTGGTCCTGGCCCCGGGCCTGGAGAGGGGCTGAAGCTGCAGTGCAGCAGGGGCGCCCGCCAGGCCCGGAAAGGAGCTCTCACCAGCGACGTCTCGCAGAGCAGCTTGCTCCCGCGCACCAGGTTCCCAATGGTGATGTGGAAGTAGGTGTTGCCGCTGCTCCAGTTGGAGATCTTGGTGAAGGGGTGCGTGGTCAAGATGTCCTGGGGAGAGCAGAAAGTCTGAAGCTGCACAACCTGGGCCCTCGGGCCTCACTCCCTTCAGCTCCAGCCCACAGACACCACCCAGAGGAAGGCCTCGGGCCCTGGGAAAACAAGCAGGAGGGGGAGGCTAGCTCTGCCTGGGCGCTGGCTTGGGGGCAGGTGCCTTGGTTGGGACCAGCAGGCGGGACACCCAAGGGAGTCGGGAGACCGCTGGGATGTGGGACTGGAAGTGGAAATGTCGGCCTAAAGGAACTGAAACTGGTCCTGAGCGAGAGTCCAGGGAAAGTCTGAGGAAAGAGACAAAAAGATGGCGGGGGACGGGCGGGCTAGAAGGGAAAAGGAGGACGTATGTAATACTTTCAACAATAAAGATTAAAAAGAAAAGAGGACAGGACAGAACCTTGGGGACCACAGTGTTATGGGCTGGATAGAGAGGAAGCCCACAGATGGTCTGAGAGGAAAACCAGGCAGACGGGGCACATGGACCCGAGAGGAAGACGGGGTCACTGGCACCCACAGCACAGCTGTCCTGTGCACGTGCGAGGGTGTGCTTCCTGCTCCTCTGGTGAGGGCTGCTGGGCCCATAAATGCGAGCATCAGTTCCCCCGGCACAGCCTGCCATGCTGCCCACGCAGAGAGCAGAGAGCATGTGGGGAGTCTAGCAGGTAGCGTCCAATGATGCTGAAAGGCAAGCACTAAGAGGAGTCGCCTGGTTTAGTAACAGGTGTTAGTAACTCCAGCGAAGCCGTTTGGATGGAGCAGATGAAGGTCAGGAAGTAGACGGCCTCTCAAGATGTGTGGCCATGAGGACAGGTGATGTGAGGGCAGAGGCTGTGGGGGCTTTTTAGGGGTGCAGACCGCAGCCTGCCTCTGCCTGCTCTGCCCTGTCTCTGCTCACCTTGGTCCTGGGATCGATGAGGCTGACCCCATACTTGTTGATGGCAATTAAGAGGATCTCCGGGAAGTTTGGCTCCGTAGTTTGCTAATAAAGAGAGTAGGAAACCATCAGTTGGGGACCCAGAGCAGGAAAAGCTGTGTGCACTAGGGGCAGAATAAAGACGCTCAGCTGGGATTGAGTTGACCTCTCCTGCCAACTCCGTGCCAGGGGGGCAGAGTGCCTGCAGCCCTGCCATGTCACCTTGATAAGAGCGCCCCACAGATTATCCTCCGAGATTCTGGCCTTTGTACACACCTGCTTCCCCTGCCAGGCTGAGGCCTTGTCCTCTGTGTCCCAGGACTGAGCCCGGGGCTCAGCACTCAGCCGGCACACCTGGCTGAGACAGGTCCCAGGCTCTCCTTTCCAGGGCAGGCAGCAGAGGCCGCTGCTGCTCCCCACAGTCCTGGGGAGGAATCTATCTTCTCAGCCCCCGTCCCCATCTCCCATCTCCCTCCTTCCTCCTCCCTCCTCCCTCTTTCCTCCTCCCTCCTCCCTCCTCTGAGAAACTGCCCACAGCGTACCTTCACCTCGAAGAAGGCTGAGCCGAAGGTGGGCCACTTGAAGATGACCTTCAGGAAGGCCAGCTTGGCCTCCTCCTTGGACTTCCCCGCGTGCTTGTTGAAGTAGGCGACGATGGACTGCAGGGGGAGGCTGGTCAGTTCCCCCCCTCCTCCCCTCCTGCCCCATCTGCTCTGCTAGCAGCTGTCATGGGCCTCGGAGGGCCAGACATGGGACGGGGTCCTGGAGCTGTGAGGACCTGCCTCCTTGTCCCAGTGAATGGATTCCTGCCCTTCCTTCCTCCCAAGCAAGCAGGCCAAAGAGTAGCAATCAAGTAAAGCCCGGACACCACAGTCATCACAGTAACCACAGTAACAAGGACAGGGACAAGTATTGCAACATGGCCTTTGCCTGAAAGACTGGAGAATAAAGCAAGTGGAGAGGGAACGGAGGAGGGGGAGTGATCCTGTC